AAAAAATGGGTTTTTTTTCTTACTAGTTTGGGTTTTCAAAGGTGTAGTAGATCTTCTTTACCTACAAGACTATAGCATTGTGTCAGTAAGTTTATGTGTGTAGATTGTTGAGATACTATACAAACTCAGTGAGAAAAAAATAATATTGATCAAATCACACTTCACTAGGAYAAGTACAATTAGTTTGAGATTTGTAAAAAATGCATTGAGTAGAGGAAATTATGACACAMAGCTCTTTACTGCCTGCAGCAGACCTAAGATGCAGCACAGACCAATCAAGGATTCATGAAAAATGATTCTTTGGGCTAAATCTTTTTTAACTTCTGTATTTTGCCTTTAAAAGCTATGCTAACTTTCTGAGAAGGAATAAAAGCAGGCCAGGCAGGATGCYTACTATCAGCAGCAGCAGTTTTTCCAATGGTGTAAATTAAGTAAATGTAATACTAGAAATGTGATCCTTATCTAACCTAGAGGAATCTATAGGTATGAAAAAATGGCTGCAGCAAGAAGTGTCCATGACTAGGAGTCAGTTCAAAAAGGTATTGAGGTGCTGGACTGTGTTCAGAGAAGGGCAGCAAAGATGGGGAAGAGTCTAGAGAGTGAGTCCTATGAGGAGCAGCTGAGGGAGCTGGGGGTGTTCAGCCTGGCAAAAAGGAGGCTCGGGGGGGACCTCATCACTCTCTACAACTGCCTGAAAGGAGGCTGGAGCCAGGTGGGGGTCAGCCTCTTCCCCCAGATAACTAACATTAGGAAMCGGCCTCAAGCTGTGCCAGAGAAGGTTCCAGTTGGACATCAGGAAAAAGTTCTTCAAAAGGGTTGTCAGGCATTGGAATGKGCTGCCCAGAGAGGTGATGGAGCCACCATCCCTGCAAGCGTTCAAGAAACTGGACGTGGCACTTAGCACTATGGTTTAATTGATGTGGTATTCAAAGTCAAAGGTTGGACTGGATCATGGAGTCTTTTCCATCCCAAAGGATTTGTGAATCTGATTCAGTGAATTCAGATAACTGGTTCAGTGGTCCATTTTCTTCAGTAAACAGGATATAATATGACACAAACCTTGACACACAGCTCCCCGTGGGAAAATCAGACAGTCTGGCGTGAGAGATTGAGCAGACGAGTGCACAGACACAGCGACTTGCACAATTTAACCACACTGGTTCAAAAGCCACTGTTTTAACAACTATGCTTTAAACATGCTTCTATTTAAACAAGTATGAAACTATTTCAGTGTAACGTGGGCTTAGTTTGATCTATTCTAAAAACAGTCTTGTCTTTTGTTGTAATTGAAACTTATTCCTTAGGGAAAGGTTATCCCCTTTTCATTCCCAGCACTCCTCTTAGCAAAAACAAACACGGTTTTATATATTTGTAACTGCAGTCCCCTATCGATGGATGTTGAAGTAAAAGACAACCTTGGTTAAATATTAAACACTTCCTTCTCTCTCTGCCAAGGTGAAAGATTTATCATGCATATCATCAAGACTCGCCAGAGTTGCAGCAGAAAAAACAAAGACTTCATGTCAGAGTGGTTCACATTTCTAACCTCAAAACAATAGCAGATTATTAGAACTTTCATACAGGAAAGGCATAAAATATGTATTTTTAAATCCACAAATATGTATGCGCACACAGATGACTCAGGCACTTTCTCTCCCTCCAATTATTTGTGGATCTTCAAATTTGTTTATCAGAATTTCCTCTCTTCCARCCTAATAACCATTGTAGAAAGTTGGAGCCCCTCACTCAGCAGCAGCAGACAATAAGAGCAGGGTGGGTATTCAATTCAGTATAGGGAATTCTTGTGATGAGGATTCTGTCCAAGCCATTGCCTGGTTAATTGCCAGTGAGGGATTGCCCTGAATCTTTCTAAGGTTATTGTTAAACATATTTACCTGCAACCATTCTCCCTGCTTAATTTTCCAATCTCTCCCCCTTCTCTGTGTAGGAAAGGCAGACTTAGCAATTAACTATTTTGATGTGGACATCAGCCAAGGCTCCCTCAAGAAGATCTTTTAGCTCTAATTTTAAGGATACATCTCTTTTGCATATTTTGCCAACAGCATATTTATATCAACATCCAAACATATCAGACACAGGCACAGGGAATCATCCTGTTGGGCATTTCTACACAGGTAAGTTCCCAACGCATTTTCAAGAGCATCATCAAGCCACATACACCAAACTCTGCCACTCTCAGTAAATACCACAGGATAAACAGACATGGTGCCATTAATACCTCCTGGAGGGTGTGGATACAAATATTAGTGTTCAGAACTGCAGCACTTTGGGCACCCTGTGCCAACTGTCTGCACCTACAGTAAACACAAAATGCCACAAGACAAGGGCAGGCACACTCTGACTGCAAGAGAGTGGCCAGAGCACAGTGCCCCCACCCTGCCTGTGTGCACCCTAAAACTCTGGGCAGCTGTACTGAAAAACGAGCSAGGTTACACAGGACTCCTGAATGGGGTCAATAGTGGCCACAGCATCTATGCTGGCAGAACCAGACAGACTTACATTAATACTCTGTGATACACAGTGTGTTGGAAAATCTTGTCAATGAAAACCATCTCACAAAGCCAGCATGAAATGACCCAAGAAGTTTTAAATTAATAGTCTCAGGTCAATCTCAGTGTCTGTGAGTTATGTCAGTAAAGCATCACACATCAGAATCAAGTAACCCCTTAGAGAGCTCTTTCTTTTGTCCTTGGGTTACTTTATTCTCACAGGTTATATTTTTGAAGAACAAAATAAGCAGATGTCAAGAATATAGCAATTCCTTCATRTAAAATCTGAAAGAGCACATCTAGACAAGTATTTATGCTAATTCTGAAATACCTCACAGCCTCGGGGTATGCTAGGCAGATGAAAGTAGGAATATTTCCTTTAATCTTCTGAGAATAGCATTACTGCAGTTAACATACTGATATGTGAAGGCTGTATTTATGTATGATGGGGAAAAAGCTATTATTTGGATTAAAAGGCCAGCTTGCAATTTTATACTGCTAATCATTGGGACGCAAAAAAAAAAGATTCAAAAATGTGTTAATTCTGAATAGCTTTAGTGCCGTGGGTTAACAACTGCCAAAAATCCTATGACTTACAAACAGCTTCCTAAATGACTCCTCTGTCTGTCATTGTAGCGACAGCGGTAGCACACGCTGTGTTAATACTCAGCATTTTAAGTCCTGGTAGCTTACATGAATGGTATTCATCTTACTTAGACTTCACTCTCTGCAAGTTGAGCATCTGCTCTGCCCCAGTTAGAGCTCTGTAGTTAATGAACAGAGAGAGGAACCCACTGGCATGATTCATCCAGCCTGGCTTGGACAGCTCTCTTAAGGTAGAAATGCTTTCGGTGGAAATGCTTTCGTCCTCTATTCAGGAAAGGGGGTCCTGGGCATAGGAGGAGAGAACAAACCTGAATGAAGAGGGAAAGAAATGGGGAAGGAGTGGGCAAGGAAATGACAGGAGAGATGAGTAACAACTGCCCAAAGAAATGCCAGGGAGGTGATGGGCATACAACAGTAAATACAGTAACAACCGAGTAATCACTGAGGAGCAGCAAGTGAAAATGCAGGAAATGTAGCTGAGCAATAAGAGACACTGATAAAAGCATTGCTAAATATAGCATCTCATTAGTCAATCAAGAAGAGCTGCTTAATGGAATGCGCTGGACTGATGGATAGGGAAGATACCGAGCCAGCAACAAAATATAAAAGCCCAAGGGGAATGAAGGCAAATGACAGAGAAAAGGAAACATGGCTGTACTTCCTACAGTGGAAAGGCTTCCAGACTGGAACAACCACCACAGTGTTTTTGCTGCATGACGTCAAGGTGTTTCTATTGGGATTCAAAGCCCTCTGTGAGGGCAAACCTGCTGCCACACATGGTAAGCTTTTTTCTCCCATCCTTTCAACTGCTGCATGATTCGTGATCTGTCCTGCTCAGGCTGCAGGTTTGCATCCAGGCTCACCATCCTACCCCACCACCCTGCCCATCCCAGTGACACTCCAGTGGATTTCTGTGCAAAATTCTGATTTATTATTACCAAAGACAGGATCTCGAGTCCTTCGCTGCAACACTTCCTCGGGACAAAATTCCATGGGTTAAAGCATAAGTACAGCCAAGTTCCCTGTCAGTTCTCACACAGTTCTCTGCATTACTCACAGATTATTTAAAGCCAAATTAAAGTCAAATTCTGCTTCAACAAAACTTCTGTGAGAGCACTGCGACTTGGCCAGACAGCTCAGCAGCAATGCTGTGCCTGTTTACTGAGGCTTTGGACAGAGCTCCTTAGTGTCCCACTCTCCACAATTTCAAAGGAGGTACCAAGGCATAGAAAACCTGTGCCAGGGGCTTTTGTGGTTCAGGGACTGTGACGCTTAGGGGTTAGGAACTTCAAACAACAAGTTTGTTGTTGGGAAACTTGACTGTGAAGGGTATTCGCCTTGGGAACACTTGTAGAAAGGGTCTACAAATCAAAAAAAATTGTCAAGTTATTGATCTAGCCTCCTCTGCAGCCCTCACAGGTGATCCGCTTCACCATCTCCCTACTAGAAAGCTTTCTTTCCAAGTATCTGCCTTAAACCTCCTCTGCTGATTTCTACACAATCTACATTGCAGAGGGAGGACAGATTAATTCCCCCTTTTCTCAGTTTTATATTTATATATACATGTATATATATAATTTTTTCCAGAGCAACATTTTATACATAGGGTA